TTTAAATTGCATCCCGACGTCGCGCTTCCTCGGAACGTAATTTGACACTTGCTTATCGTAGTATTATTGATGATGATGACGATGATTATGAATGAGGCCGGTGAGGTCATCTACATCCCGCTGAGAATCATTGTGTATCTATCACCTCACTTGGGGTTACTGTAATGAATTTCCTGTTCCTCAAAATCAAAAGATAGAGTGCATCTTAGTGATATCATAGAGCAGAAGTCCGAGCGATCCTGGTGATTTCGATAGGTTCGATAAGCCAGTGTCAAATTTCACTTAAGGAACTCTAATTACTAACAATTAAGCAAGAAGTGAGGAATTCAAAATGGTGGAAAAAAAGGAGCGAAAGGAGGAGGGAGAAATGGAGGGGGTCCGGGGAAGAGGGGAAAACAGTTACACCTCCTGAAAGTCAGTGGATGTCTGCAAATCAGCGTGGTACCCATGAAAAATAAAGCAAGAACCAGGCTGGCCTTCGTACGGACAGACATCGACGGCGGATGGATCATATGGGCAGACGATTTGACGATGGATACTATTGTTGACGTGCAATCCAAACCATACATACCGTAGGGAATTGGACACGTAACTTGGTTTATTTTTTAGATCTTTGGATGGTTTTGAAGCACTGTATTCCATTTTCATAAAAAAACAATTTTTAGAGAATTTTTTTACAATCAAATGGATAAATATGCAAGGAATTACTTAGCAGAAGGCGTAAAAAATAAAGAAGATATTATCGTTACGCCGGATTCTGAAATTTACAAAAATCTCAACCAGCATTACAATCGAAATAACCATATTCAAGTAAGAAACTATTTAAATTTTCTAAGAACTTTAAATTGATACCACGTGATTGCATTTTTTTTTTGTAACATTTTAAGCGGAAAGCCAAGAACGGACAGTCACTGTGGGTTTCCCAAGTCAGTGATGTTACTGGTACGCTCCCGTATGCTGGCTCAACTGTTTTTAGCGGAATTAATAACTCTAAAAACACCTCAGAAATCCTTGCTTTTTGATGGGAATATTTTGAATCTACTTCAATGTTACATTGGTATTAGCGCAT